AATCCTTGAGAATATTGAATTGGGTGGCRGAACTTGAAAATAGGAACTAAGTGGGAAGTATTTCAAGTGATGGCAGAATAATCCTAGAAGGGTAATTTTAGTAATATGTAACTTTAACTTTTCTGATAAATACACAAGAGTAGTTTGGGAATTTTCTACTCTCCATCCAYTAGAATTAGCGGAAGGGGTCAATAAGCAACTTTTACACCAAAAATGAGGGGAGGTCTTTGCAACTTTTAAAGGTGAGGGGAGGCATAAATACATTTGAGAAATGTCAAGGGAGGTATAAGTATTTTACCCTCATACATATCAATTATAAAAACATCTATCGTTAGAATGACAGCCTACCAAGGGAGGTATAAGTTCATTGTCAAATACCGAAAAGACAAACATGGGCGTTRCTGTACTTTTTTGCTCCCATATGTTATTCTTTGAAATAATATGTAAATTGTACCAAAGTGCTGGACGGCCTAATGCAGTACAAGCTCTTATCATTGCTGTTGATCACTTAGACACTGTTATTAGCTTACCTCTTTTTAACCTGCCATTGATTTCGACGGTTGAACCGTTTCGGTTCTTATAAAACCCGGTGTTGCCCCAAAGATTATTGAAAAGTCAATAAAATCCTCGACTCAGATGGTTGAATCGTTAAACCGGTGACCTAGTCATTGGATTGCAAGTTGCATACTAACTGTGTATGCAAATTTTATAAGGCCATAATTTTATACTTCGATTTTCAAATTGAGGTGATTATTTTGATTTTGAGTAACTTTTGATGCCTTGTCTTGCTATTTTTGTGAAAAAAGYCTATTTTTGGTCTCAAATTGCAATCTTTAACATTTTTATGCATAAAAAAAATTAAAAATATAAAATAATACATATACTTAAAATATATAAACATTGACATGGCACGGTTGACCCATTCGACCTGAACGGTTGAACCGGCAACCTGTGATCTAAAGATAAAAACGGTTCAGCCTCCAAATTGATTTTTAAAACACTTCTCTGAACAACATGARTTAAAAGTTTCAAAAATGGAGCTAAATTAAAGTTTCCTCTCTCAACCAAGTAAATTTCTTTCCTAACACATTACCAATTGATGATCTTACTCTAGAAAGGATCTCAACGGATAGAAGATGAGCTAACTTTGTGTGTTAATTTAGTAACTTCTTACTTGTGAAGTATACACCGATATAGAAGACCTTAGACGACAGCAGCAGTTGTTCACATTCGTCCCCCATTATCATAAGCATTACATTTTACTAAATATGATTAATATATACTTGGTAATTGGCTTCTTTTGCAAGTGGTAATGGGCATAATGGGATGAATTTGTAACTATTTTCTCTTGAAACTTAGTGCAGCACAATCGGGCCTAATCCAAGACATCACCCATTCCACAACTTAAATATATCAGCAATCAGCATCACTGATATTGSGACGCCTCAAATAAGCCTGCGACAACCCATTGCTTGGGTGTTGCAACACAATAACCCAACAAACAATATGTCAACACTTCAACTGAGTGTCTAAGGCAAAGGGGCTTCTAGGAGCAAGGCTGTAGTTGAGCTTGTGCTCACATGCCAACCTTGAGAGATCAAGGGACATCACCCATGATGACACACATGGTGAAACCCTACTTTTGAGTCTTATGTCTCAGAATAACCGACTAACAAATTTTTTCTCTTTGAGGAACCTATTTGGTTTGGAGGTCTTTCTCTATAAATAGGGGAGACTTGAAGCTATCCTCAAGCATTCCATATCCTGTGCATAAGCTTTGCCCTCAAACTCCATTAAAGCCCTTTCAATCTCCTTGCAACCTTTTCCCCTCCTTCCTTCTCCTATCCTAGCTAGCGGAAAAAACGAAAAAAAAAAAAAAGAAAAAAAAAGGGTTGTTTCTAAACTCAGTTTTGAAACGTGGAATCGATAGATTAATTAAATACAAAACTTGAATTAAATAGGGGATGTAGCTCAAATGGTAGAGCGCTCGCTTTGCATGCGAGAGGTACAGGGTTCGATACCCTGCATCTCCATTCAAGGTTTTGAATTGCTTTTATGATTCAATGACGAGTGATACTATCATCGAGAGATGTTCCCAATTGACGGCGGGAATGTGCTGTGAGATACTGTTGGGCGGCGCAGATGTGAACTCTTCAATGACTTGCTCCCTCTTGAAATTGTGCAAATTCCATGTGTGGTCTTCTTCTTTTTCTTTTTCCCCTTTTGTAATAGGTCAACATTTTAAGCGAAATATATATTTTTTATGCCAGTGRAATATTCTCTTTAAAGTATTAAGTTTTTGTCCACAACATTTGATTTGAGGTTAGTTCAAATTAACAAACGACGCAAAGTTGAATCAAATTGACCCATTTTGGCTTATTGTGCTGTTCAGACACTAAATTGCTCTTCTATTTTCCAGGGACTGACATTAGAAGGGGAATATGAGCAAAATCAATCAATGATATATAAGACAGCAATTTAGGGTAGGTTCCTTTGGGAACACAGTAGTTAATTAGACTTGATTTGACATAATCCGGTCCAGTCCAGTCCAATATGAATTCATTATCGATGGACTAGGTTCAATCCAATCAGATGAATATTCTGAACCATTTTGGGCTTAGAGGTGAAATGTCAACCTAAGGCCCCATTTGAATTACAGGAATAGAGGTTTGGAATCAGAATCGGAATGGGCTATTTCGATTTCAACTGTTTAGTTGGGCGGAATCGGAATTCCATTCCCATTCCTGTTGGAATGGCATTCTCCCATTTGAGGGAATGGCCACTCCCTACCCCTCCCTTGGAAATTAAATCTCATTCCTGTTGATTTTAATTCCCATTCCCATTCCTATCTGAACCAAATAGACTATGGGAATGGACCATTTCGATTCCGATTCTGACTACGAACCAAACTGAGCCTAAAACTTGTTACAAAATTACTCTATGAATGAAACAAATGAGAAGAAACCTATTTGATATAGCTATTGCTGGGGGCTTTGGAATCTTCCTCATTGAATCCTTTAATTCACAAGGTAAATGAAGCTGAAATCCTATGTCATATATATGCATTTCCTACACAACCCTTTTCTAGCATTGAGCATGTTAGTTGATAGACAAGATTGGACACACTATCATAGACTTTATAAGTTACCCACTGAAACTGCACATGTATTCTTATCTGAATTCTTTGCTTACTTTAACCATTTCACAATTTTTTTTTGTCCTTTTCATCACAGGTTAAGACCCACATCAATGTTTAGAAGAATAAAACCACTGCTCAGAAACCAAAATGGAGGTCTCTAACCTAGCCAACCAGAGTCCAACCTGAAGAATTGGATTGGGGGTTCAACAACTTGGGTTGGATTAAGATTGACCTCGACCAAAGCTAACCCAACCAGACTTGTACCTCCCATATAGGACTTCTTTTGTTCTTTTGTAAGCCCAGGAACTGACCGCCCTAATTGACTATCCTTAGGCAATACCTTAGCACTTCATAAAAGGGCTTAGATCTGCTATCCACACCCTGTTCTCACATCCCCACCCATGAAACATTACAGTTGTAGATTGAGAACATCTCCCTTGTCATTCATAAAAAAATGTTTTTTTGTGAGTAGCAGTTTATGTCTATTTAAAATTACATATATCGATTTATTTAATATAAATGAAAAGGGATATAGTTCAAATGGTAGAGTGCTTGTTTTGCATGCGAGAATTATAGGGTGATCCCTTGCATCTCCAGCTAAACATGATTTTTTTTTTTTTCTTTTTTCTTCCTCCACTGGTGCCCGTGTTTTGACAAAGATATTTTCGTTAGCAGTGTTAAATGAGTATGYCACATTTATTTTAAATAAGAATGATCTATAAAAACCATTCTTATTTGTCACACTTATTTTTGAATTATGCCTACTTAAAATTACATATAACAATTTATTTAATATAAATAAAAGAGGATGTAATTCAAATGGTAAAGCACTTGTTTTGCATGCGAGAGGTACAGGGTTCAATCCCCTGCATTTCTAGCTAAATATGATTATTTTTCTCTTTTCTTCCTCCACCACCAGTGCCCCCCTTGTCGGACACTAATTTATTTTGAWAWTRATATTTTTGTTAGCATTGTTAAATGAGCATGTCACCTTATTCTCTCTCCTCTTTGTATTGTTTTCCAACTCTTTTAGAAGTTGGGGCTATTGAAACACAACACGACCRATTCAGTTTCCTTWGTAGGAATAAATTCAATTCTAATCCCCTACAATTCCAAAAGAAATTCTTTTTCTATTTCCATACATGTAAAATGTGTCAATTCTGATGATGATAATAATAAATAATATGTATTTTTGTGATTGGTGTGAAGTGGTATTAATTAATTCCACAGCCTGCTGAGTCGAGATTAACTTCAGTTAGTGCAATAGCCGTTCAAACACTCTTTACAACCATTCATTGAGAATATCTTCGTATTGATATACTTTATTTCATGGACATGCGAGGCTGTTTGAAGCTGGGCTCTGGTGAATCAGTCAGTCAGTTCATGTAATTTACAAAATGGTGCTCATAAGTCAAGTCAAACCCTATTTACAGCCACTTGCAATTATTATATWTTTTTTTTATTTATGAAAAGATATTCCATATATATATATATATATGCAAGTGGCTGGATAATTCCATCTCCAGAACCAAACGCCAAATCAGGTTGGGCCCACATGATTTTATTTTATTTTATTTTTTATGTTGGGACTTGGGATTCCACGTCAGGTTGGGCCTTAAAAAAATWAGAGGAAGAATACCTGCCTACTTCCCATCAATAATTCTTCATCCATTGACAATAATCAAATAATGGCTTTGCCATCGTTCGAATATTCCAATCATTCCCCCATTTCACAAACAATGGTATCTTTAATTTCATCAGCATGGGCCGACGTGGGTCCCGGTGAATGGTTCAGTTGTGAACGTAATGTCTCTTATCTTCAGTGTGCCAATCCACCATTTCTCTGCACAAAGTACAAACAGTTCAAAAAACATTTGATCACTCCTGGCTCCACCCCTCCTTTTGGTTTTGGACTTTTCGGTAAGGAATCTACCATACCCTTTGGCCATTCATTGCACCCAAAGCTTATACTGCGCCCAGGAAGCGTTCTGTGTGACTGTGTTGCCGGACAAAGCCGGATCTTTAATGGTCTGGGTTGGCTGGGATTGCATAGAGAAAGAGGTTCTTCCATGGATGAAATTTTAGTTCATCTGGATTCGTCGGAGACAGGAGAAACCACTCCTTCGCTGAACAAAAAGGTAATAGTAAAACTTTAAGTTCTTCCAAAATATTTTGTTCATACCAGTCCATGTCATCGTTACCCTCTGCTTTGTGGCCAAGGACTAAAACGTCGATTTGGCATGGAGATGGAGCTAATCCATTTGAAGGTACAGTTGGATTTGCCACAACATTCGTCCAGCTGAAAACCAACTTTCTTTCTTTCATCAGATGAAGCTGATGGGTTTTTCTTGATTAGGAGAAAAGCACCTCTCTTGAGTAGGAATTATTTCTCGGCTATCCTTCCCCCTTTCTTGCTTTATTTATTTATTTATTGAATTTATGGTTGAAGGAGATACTGAACTTAGAACAAACGGAGGATGGATCAGTGGATATTGAGGGAAAACCGGCACTTAGGCACAAGACTGGAGGTTCAAGAGCTTCTGCCGTAATTCTGGGTAAGATATATATATATATTTATCGAGTATATGTTTGGCATCATTCTTTTTAGTTAGCCGAACCGTATCAATTATTTTGAAGTAACTATAGGGAGTCATGCTAACAGCTTAAAATTTTTGCTGATTTGTTGTTCGATCAATTGAAGTGCATATATTGAAACGTGAGACATGACTTAGAGCTTCTTGTTATAAATTTTAATAAGCCTTAAGCCCTAAACCTCAATAAGCTAGCAATAGAGGATAAAATGGACCATGACTTTTCAAGATTTATACAAGGTTATTGTTGCAACTGGGGGCTCTGAATAAGTTTTCTTCAATCTGTAAGCGTTTGCCGAATAAAAAAGAATAAGCAATTTGAACGTGTAAGCTTGATTTCAAGTTTCTCTCGATGTTTTAAAACAAGAAGGCGTGATGCGAGGCGTTCCACTACCTAGAGGTGTGACGAGTAGTTCAGAATGCAAGAGGCGTAGGCCTCCCGAACACAAGGAGGCATAACTTTCCTTAAGAGGAGGGGGGCTAGGAGGAGGATGAAGAGGAAGGGGAAATTTCATTTTTTCTTTATTTTTAATAAAAATCTTTCTTTCTTTCCCCTTATGTTTTCTTTCCTTCCCTTTTCTTTTCTCTTTTTTTCTTCTCTTTCTTTTTCTTTTCCTTCCCTTTATTTTCCTTTCTTTTTCTTTCCTTTTTTTTTGTCTTTTTATATGGGATGTGCATGAGGTGCATTAGGCGTACACCTTTAGCACGCCTCATGAAAAAAGCACAAGAGGCATACGCCTCAGAGATGTCAGCGCCTCTGGCATACGCCTCAGGGCATTTTGGGAGTGCCTCACCTCCACGCGTACGCCTTCCACACCTTTCTTTTTCTTTCTAACAGGGGGTGGGGCATTGGTTTGTAAATGGGGCTTCAGTGATTTTCCAGTATTTTCCAATTACTATCTATCAGAGAGTGGGAAAGTTTCTTCATTATCTTATTTCCACGGTTTGTCTGGCTATTCTTGTTTGGATTGTATTTTGTGGCATGTCCAGACTTAACTTGAAATTTTTCAAGTTTTAAATAAACATGGAGAAAATTGGTGTTTCTTTGCAAGTGGACTAGGGAGTCCAAACAGAAATTGCAATGTTTGCGAGGGGAATAGTCTAGAACAAGTTCTCTATGACTATAGATCGTCCTATCAATTAGAGGTCTATGTTACTTCTTGCATTTTATTTTCTCTATCTGTTAAGAAGAATGAAGATTGGACCCATCAAAAAATAAACAAGAAATAGTAAATGCTCGTGTTGAATGCTTATCATATTGATGATATTGTTGAATTGACAGGAGTGGAATGCTTGGAGGCCCTGGTTATTTTGGCATTGCTACAAATCTGGCTGTTTACCTTAGCAAGGTCTTGCGTCAAAGCAATGCATCAGTTGCAACAAGCATCACCACTTGGAATGGAACTGGCTATCTTTCATCCTTATTGGGAGCTCTTATAACTGATTCCTACTGGGGCAGATACAAAACCATTTTGGTCTTCACATTGGTCTATTTTCTTGTATGCTTGACTTAGATTCTCTATATGCAGCTCAATTCTTGAATTTTCTATGGTGTTCATGCCCTATTAAGTCAATCTAGCTAGTAATTTACTTAAACAGATACATGTGCACACCTCCATGTGAATGAAGGCAATTATAGGTTGCTAACTTCTTTCCTGATTAATTTCCAAAAAATGCACTAAATTTCTGTTTCCCTTTGGGTGTGGGGGTATGATTACATTTCTTTTTCTTTCATGTCTTTAAACAGGGGATGCTAACAATCACTCTCTCTGCTGCATTTTCATTGTTGAAGCCTATTTTTTGTAAAGGAAATCACTGTCCCTCTGTAATTGAAGCTCAAAAGCTAGTGCTCTTCTCTGGTTTATATCTCATTGCCTTTGGAAAGGGAGGAATTTACTCGTCTCTTCTGCCCTTAGGTGCAGACCAATTTGAGGATCGAAATTCAGATGAATTAGAAAAGAAAAAATCCTTCTTCAATTGGTTTTACTTCTCTATTTGCTTTGGTTCTCTTATTTCAAGCACAATTTTAGTTTGGGTCGAAGAGAATATTGATTGGGCACTTGGATTCGGCATTTCTGCACTCTTTGTGGCCCTAGCACTAGGAGCCTTTCTATATGGGACACCGATTTATAGGTTACAAAGACCAGGTGGGAGTCCCCTCAAAAGAATTCTCCAAGTTCTGGTTGCAGCTCTGAGGAAGACAAGCATAGAAGTCCCCACTGATAACAGTCATCTATATGAGGTTCCACTTAATAACTTGATTGTCAAGGAAAGCTGGAAATTAGTTCATAGTAATGACTTCAGGTACCTTATCCTTCTTTTCACTCTTACATCAAACTTATAGAATCTAATTAACTCCAAGATTCTAATGGTTGACAACTACATACAATTAAAACACAAATTGCTCATGAGCATGTATTTAAGTTCATGGGTTTCTTACGTAAAAACTATAAAGATAATGCAATGCCTTTCCAGATTTTTGGACAGAGCTGCTACAATATCAGAATCAGATGCAAGGAGTACTGATTCTCCAAGTCCCTGGAGACTATGCAGTGTGACTCAGGTGGAGGAGCTAAAGATTCTTCTCCGTTTACTCCCAATTTGGGTGGGAGGCGTTATTTATTCAGTTTCCTATGCTCAAATGAGCACCACATTCATTGAACAAGGCAACACAATGGAAACAAAGATTGGATGCTTCTCATTTCCACCTGCCTCTCTCTTTGCCTTTGAAACTCTTATTGTCATCTTATGGGTTTTTATCTATGACACACTTCTTGTTAACATTGGGAAGAAATTTATAGAAAATGGACATGGGATTTCATGGCTACAACGAATGGGGATCGGTTTTCTACTGATGATGTTCGGCATGTGCACAGTTGCATTGGTGGAAGCAAAAAGGTTGGAATGTGTAAGGGTTGGCAAAACCATGAGCATAGCATGGCAGCTTCCCCAATATTTTATTTTTGGTGTCTCGGAGGTCTTCAGTTTTGTTGGACAAATCGAGTTCTTCAATTATGAGGCACCTAATACCATGAAAAGTACATGTAATGCATTTTTCTTGCTTACAATGTCTTTAGGTAAATTACTTGAGTTCTCTTGCTACTACATTAGTGACTTATTTTACTACACGAGAAGGAAGGGCTGGTTGGATACCTGCTAACTTGAATGATGGACACCTTGATTATTTCTTTTGGGTTCTGGCAGGGTTAAACACACTGAATTTTCTCAGTCACCTTATCTGGGCTAGAGGATACAAGCATAAAAATATCTAGTATTTGAAGAAGGTTAAATTTCAATTGTAAGTTATAGCATAATGGATGCTCCACAGCATTTATTACTCCCTTATTGCCACCACTGGATTAAACCGCTGCTTGGACCACCTTTCTTGGGTTTGATGAGATTAAAGGTGTAATTGTTCAATAGCTTGTGAGCTATGGACCTCTTTTTTGTAAATAATATTGAAGCTTGATGAAGATCTACATGTCAGGATGTTCATGTTCAAAGAAAGGATTTTCCAAAGTTGAAGGTAATTTAGTTATCATTCAATCACTTTCTTTTTGAAGATAAAGTAAAAAAAAATATTAAAAGAAAAACGAAGTTATTAGAAAGGTGACCAGGAGTCACATGATGGAGGAAAAACATCAGAACAACCTCGAAACCACTCAACTTCTCAGCCACACCCTGCAAAGAAGTAGAGACACTATACGCAGAAGAGTTATGTCAAATAGCTTCAAAACTGAAACAAGAAGAGGGGGGATTTCTGACTTGGGTTGAAAGGATATATATATATATATATATGTTCCCAACTACGAGAGATTTTCACCGTTTAATTTCACAAGTTTTGTAAATAAAATACAAAATCAACCAGTTCGATTAACCGAATTTTTTTGGTTCAAATTACTGGTTTTTTGTTTTTTCGGTTTATCATGAGCATAATTGGATGACATTTAGGTATCGGAGTGACTCTAGTATAGATTCTGATTAAATACTTCCATTAACAGAAATCGAACCCCAAAACCAAAAAATTGTAAAATAAAATATGAAGCCACCCATTTTGATTAACTGGATTTTTTCGGTTTGAATTATTGATTTTGGTTTGGTTTTTTGGTTTTTCGATTTCTTACAATCACCCATAACTTAGAATTGGAGGGCATTTGGGTATCAGAGTGCCTCTATCATAGATGGAGTTGCAAGCACCGCTTGCCCTTTTCTTACATCTCTCCCATTTCTCTAAATCTCTATCAAATCCCAGATCATTTGATTCATTGGTGTATGTTAGTTTATAATATAAGACCGGTGTTTGATCTCTCATCTCTTACATCAATTTTTCAATTTCTTTATTGGAGTTGCAATTTTTTTTGTTATTASAACTTAAAAATAATCACAGAAACGAGAAAACTCAAAATCAAAATGGAATAACTAAAAACCCTAACTAATTTTGGTCATTGAGATTAATCGAACAAGATTTTGATATATGAAAGTTTCATTTATCATTTTTTTTTTATTTTTTAATTTCTATTTAAAAAAAAATAGAATTAGTTTGAATGCAACTTGAGAACCGTTAACCGGGTTGAACATTTTAACAGTTAAACCGCCTGAATTAGTAGTTGTCTGACTATTTCAACGTTTCTCTCTTTTTTTGTAAAATAGCGGTTCAAGGCCAAAATGAAACTAGTGACTTGACCAATTCTTGGTCCAAAACGGTTCAACCATCTAGTTTGGTCCAATTTTTAAAACATTGACTAAAATACTCATTTTTAATTTAATTCCTATTTAATTGCAAGGTTTAAATTGTAAATTGAACTACTACTTTTCACTTCATTCAATTCCCTCTATTTAAATCTTACATTTTTTTGATAAATAAACAAAAGAAAAAAGACTTATATTGTATATAAAAATGTAGATGCATAGTGGAAGTTTTTTTGGACTAAAATTACCCTATATTTCTTTGTTTGATAAAGGTTATGAAAGTCATTTTATTACAGCTTTAATGCCAAATTTTGATGGCTACTAAAAAGTTCATATTTGTCTATTTATTACATCTCTAATTGTAAGGGCTGAAAATGCAATTTCAATTATTACTTTTCACCTCATTTAATCTCCTTTCATTAAGTTTTATGCTTAAAGGTATTAATTCCTATATTCTCTTATTAAATCCTATATTTAAATTATTTTTCACCAATGAATGGTACTAATTAGATTTATGTCAATATTTTTAATAATATACCCATATACTTTAAGATTGGCTAAAAAACAAAAACATTCTTTATCCAAGTGATGGCTAAGCAATTCAACCATTCAAATCAAATTGATAAACCTATGAAGTCATAGTTAGGTAAAAAAAATTTAAATAGAAATAAACATAGAAAATTACAAAAATATAGAAAAAATTAGACACATTTATGATACTTTTATTAATCAAATTAAAAAAAGGAAAATTGTCTAAAATTCACCATGCCTTTTCAGCATTTCTCTTTAACACACCATAACTTTTCAAAACGTCTAGGGAACCTCATGCCATTAATTTGACCATAAATAGACTAATGGGTGTTACTAGATTACCATTTTACCCTTTACAAAAAAAATGTAAAATAAGCACATATATATTTTAACTAAAAAGACATGAAAAAAAAGAAAAGTTCAAAAATATTTTCAAATATAAAATACATAAAAGCACATAAATTGCAAAAAATATTGAAAGCTATAGAAATTACAAAGAAAATAAAAAATTAATTTTAAATTATATAAACTACAGAAATTGGAAAACAAAATCAGAAAATAAAAACTGTAGAAAAACACCAAAAAGTATAGAAAAACATAGAAATAAAAATAAAAATACATATTTGTAATAAAAAGCAAAAAAAGCACAAAAAGTGTGGATGTAGTGTGAAAGATTTTTTTTGGATATATTATTATTATTATCATTACCATCATCTAGAATTATATATTATTATCATTATAAAAATACATATTTAAATGTGCACGCTTACTAGTGTGAATATTTTTTTAGACTAAAATTACCCTCKATTTCTTTATTTGAGAAAGGGTATAAAAGTCATTTTATTATAATTTTAATGTTAGCTTTAATGGCTACTATAATGGTCATGTTTGTGCATTTAATCCATCTCTAATTGTAAGGGTTGAAAATGCAATGTCAATTATTACTTTCCACTTCATTTAATCCTCTCTCATTAAGTCTTATACTTAAGGTATTAAATCCTATATTTAAGTTATTTTTCACTAATAAATGCTACTAATTAGATTTATGTCAATATTTTTAACACCCATATATTTTAAAACTAACTCAAAAACAATATCATTCTTTATTCAAGTAGTGGCTAAACAATTCAACCATCCAATCAAATTGGTTAACCTACGAAGTCATAGTTAGGTAATAAAAATTAAAATAGAAATAAATATAGAAAATTACAAAAAATGTAAAAAAAATAGACATATGAATGATATTTTTATTAATCAAATTAAAAAAGTATAATAAACAAGAATTATTTTTATTGATAATGAAAATGAAATACGAAATTTATAACTAACCAAAAGTGAAATATAAAATTAATAATAAATAATTCAAATTGTGGGTTAAATGCCTTAACCTTTAATGCCATAAACAAATAATAAAAATTAATAAAATATAAAGATACATAAGTTTTACAAAAAAAAAACATTCAAGCACATGTATAATGTCATGTCTTTATCATATCGAAAAAAAAGTAAGTGTGACTTATTATAATTATTTTTACACACAAGAATACAAACAAAAATTATAGAATTTTTTAACACATCTATAATTCTGTATTTACACTACTATTAAAAATATAAACAAAATTGTGGAACTTTCTTTTGAATAAAATCAAGGTTTTAAAAATCGACCCAAAAATGGAACCACTTTGACTTTCGTTAATGGTTCAACCATCCACTTTAAGCGAGTCAAATCAATAAGATGTAAAATATAATATAACTTTTTATTTTGACCCTTAGGTTAGGATTAGATTAAAGTCCACCACATATATGCATTGTTATGAGAGGGGAGTGTGAGAGTTTGAGAATGAGGCGGCTGGTTCAAGTTAAGAAGTGAGAAGAAGAAGAAGAAGAAGGAAGCGTCTTCGAAGATGGTTGTCACCATGTTCATTGAGCATTGTTGCAAAATTGTTTGCCCTAATAATAAGAAGAAGGAATCATCAGCAGCGACTATCTCTTTGTTCATCATTAAGCTGCTATCTCTCTAACTCTCTCAAATCCCAAATTATATGGTGTATCTTAGATTTTAATATAAGATTAATGTTTAATCTCTCATCTCTTGCATCAATTTTTCAATTTCTTCATTGAAGTTGCAATTTTTTGTTATTACAACTTAAAAATAATCACATAAATGAGAGAAGTCAAAATAAAAATGGAATAACTAAAAACCCTAACTAATTTTGGCCATTGAGATTAATCAAACATGATTTTGATATATGAAAGTTTCTTTTATCATTTTTTTATTTTCTAATTTTTATTATTAAAATAAATAAAAAATTAGAATTAGTTTGAAAGCAACCTGAGAACCGTTACATTTTAATAGTTAAACCGTCCGGATTAGTAGTTCCCTGACCATTTCAACAGTTTTTTATAAAATAGCAGTTTAGGGTCAAAACAAAACCAATGACCTGACCAATTCCTAGGCCAAACGGTCCAACCATCTAGTCTGGTCTGATTTTTAAAACATTGACTAAAATACTCATTTTTTTAATTTAGTGTAAGGTTTAAATTGTAAATTGAACTACAACTTTTCACCTAATTCAATTCCCTCTATTTAAATCTTAAATTTTTTTTTTGATAACTAAGTAAAAGAAAAAAGATTTATACTATATATAAAAGTGCAGATGCAAAGTAGAATTTTTTGGACTAAAATTACCCTCTATTTCTTTGTTTGATAAAGGGTATGAGTCATTTTATTACAAATTTAATGCCAACTTTTGATGGCTTCTAAAATGCGCATATTTGTTTATTTATTATATCTCTAATTGTAAGGGTTGAAAATGTAACTTCAATTATTACTTTTCAGCTCATTTAATCCTCTTATACTTAAAGGTATTAACTATCATTTTCTCTTATAAAATTCTCCATTTAAGTTATTTTTCACCAATAAGTTAATATTTTTAACAATATAAACCCATACTTTTAAAACTGGCTAAAAAATAAAACCATTCTTTATCCAAGAGGTGGCTAAGCAATTCAACCATCCGAATCAAATTGATAAACCTATAAAGTCAGAGTTAGGTAGTAAAATTTTTAAAATAGAAATAAAAATAAAAAATTACAAAAATGTAGAAAAAATAGACACATTTATGATATTTTTATTAATCAAATTAAAAAATAAGTGTAATAAAAATGATTATTTTTATTAATAATGAAAATGAAATACCTACTTTAGAACAACCAAAAATGAAATTATTTTAATATTTGCAAAGATCAATATAGTTCAACTTTTGGGTGGTCAAATGTGTTA